CTGCTCTCACACTACAGTGGCAGAATTAAGTAGTTGTGACAGAGACTGTATGGCTTGCAAAGCCTAAACTATATACTAGCTGGCCATTTACCAAAAAGGTTTGCTGACGACTGACCTATATCAGTGGTTCTCACCTGAGTTGGTGGGCAAGAATCACTTGTAAAACCTCAAAAATGTAAATTAGATGGCTGGCCCCATACCAACACTCTGAATCAGAATGTCTAGGATCAGAGCTGCAGACTAATAGTTTTCAAAAGAACCACCAGCCTAATATAATACACAGTACTTAGTATCATTTTAATTACTCTTACTCATCAAATACCTAATAGACATTAGGCATTATACTAGATGTTTTACTTGGTTTTTATATTAATCTCCATGAAGTACCTTATAGAATCCTTCTTTTATAGTAAAAGAAATCAAACCTTTCTGAAGTTAACGAGTACAAAATCACACAGCTAATAAGTAAAGGAGCAAGGTTTTCTTTTCTTTTCTTTTTTTTGGGGGGGGAGGACAGAGCCTCAAGCTGTCCCCCTGGGTAGAGTGCTGTGGCATCAGAGCTCACAGCAACCTCCAACTCCTGGGCTCAAGCGAGTCTCCTGCCTCAGCCTCCCAAGCAGCTGGGACCACAGGCGCCTGCCACAACGGGCTATTTTTTGGTTGCAGCCGTCATTGTTGTTTGGCAGGCCCAGGCTGGATTTGAACCCGCCACCTTAGGTGTATGTGGCTGGTGCCCTAGCCACTTGAGCCACAGGTGCTGAGCCTGGAGCAAGGTTTTCAACTAAATCTTTCTGCCTGTCCCAGATTGATAAAATCAGAGGAAAAATATCAAAATGAAGGACTCTTAGGATTTACTTTTCCTCTGATGGAGCACTAGGTATTCCCATCACTGATGCTACACTGGTCTATATGAGAATGGCCCAAATAACGTTGCAGAAATCTCCCATTAATAGAAAGTAGCATAGCTAAGAAAAGATAGTAACATTCAAAGAAGAATTTACTCAAACTTAGAGGATAACAAAAGGGAAATAAACTCATGGAGTAACATGAAGCTGACTATCTTCAATGAGGAGTCTACCATAGAGACATCTTCCTACCTGGTTCATGACCTACCTCAAAGTGACCAAACCTCTTGAAAAATCATAATGAATGCTAACAACCCCCTCAAGACTAGATCTGAGAAAGTAAGGTATGAGCAAAAGGTTTCCTCTTCATATTGTTTAAATTACCCCTCTCAAATTCTGGTTTCCTGAATGATTTACAGATGAATGTCCAACTTTTTTAAAAAAAATGCTACTCTTGATATGATAAACATAGTATTTCCCAGTAGATATTGAACACACATTAGTATTAGAGGGTATCATTTGGCTCAATATATTTAATTTTATTTTTAAGAGTCTCACTATGTCACCCTCAGCAGAGTGCTGTGGCATCACAGCTCACAGCAACCTCAAACTCTTGGGCCTAAGTGATTCTCTTGCCTCAGCCTCCCAAGTAGCTGGGACTACAGGCGCCCACCATGACACCTGGCTATTTTTTTATTGCAGTTGTCATTGTTGTTTAGCAGGCCTGGGCCAGGTGCCCTAACCACTGAGTTATAGGCGCTGAGCTGCAGTATATTTAGAATTACATATTTATACAGATAAAATTTCAAATGAGGTTCCAATTACTAACCAAGTCAAGATTCATTCTTCTTACTTTCAGTCTGAGTGTTGTTTAGGGTGAAGCAGGTCTATTGTAGGAAGCTTATATAGTTAAGCCTTCTTTATTTAATCATTCAGTCATTTTATTCTTTTGATCAGATAATTTGATTGATTGATTTATATCCAAAGTAATTATTGATAGGTAAGAACTTATAAGTGCCATTTTAAAAACTGCTGGTTGTTTGGTAGAGCCTTTGTTCTTTTCTTCCTCTCTTGCTTTCTTTGAGGTTTGATGATATTCTATAGTGTTATGCTTTGAATTTTTCTTTTTTGAGACAGGAGTCTCACTTTGTCACCCTTGGTAGAATGCCATGGCATCAGAGCTCACAGCAATCCCAAATTCTTGGGCCTCAAGTGATTCTGTTGCCTCAGCCTCCCGAGTAGCTGGGACTATAGGCACCTGCCACAATGACTGGCTATTTGGGGGGGTTTTTTTGCAGCTGTCTACCCAGGTAGAGTGCCGTGGAATCACAGCTCACAACAAGCTCAAACTCTTGGCCTTAAGCGATTCTCTTGCCTCAGCCTCTCAGGTAGCTGGGACTACAGGCACCCACCACAATGTCTGGCTATTTTTTGTTGTTGTTCTTGCAGTTGTCATTGTTGTTTTAGCTGGCCCTAGCCTGGTTCAAACCCACCAGCCTTGGTCTATGTGGCCGGCGCCCTACCCATTAAGCTATAGGCAACGCCTTAATTTTCATTATATATGAAAATATATATTTTTTCAGTATATCAGTAACAGAGGCAGAGTCTAAATTTCTGGGTATTCCACATCAGATTTAAATAAAATATGAAATAAAAGGAAATTGTTTAAATTGTCTTGAAGCGACAAAATAGTGATTTCTAAGCACAAATAACTATGAAACTTTTCAGCTATTGTCTCAATACATTTTTAATTAATTAATGAAATATCTTAGCTCAAGGCACATCTCAGACATTATTCATTTCAGCATATGAATACAAATCTCCTTGGGCTAAAACAAATTATATAATTTTAAGAGTTTTGAAATTTAAATATGTAAGCTTAAATTTCAACATAATTTCCCATTTAGTCTTACTTGTATTAATTTGCAATAAATCTCTACACCCTAACTATAATTTTAAAAAGTTTAAACAGCAAAATCAGAAAAAAACTTTAATTCCCTAGGTAAAATTTTAAAATAATTGTTAAGGCTGGGCGTGGTGGCTTGCGCCTGTAATCCTTGCACCCTGGGAGGCCGAGGTGGGTGGATTGCCTGAGCTCATAAAGTTAGAGACCAGCCTGAGCAAGAGGAAGACCCATCTCCAAAAAATAGCCAAGCACTGGGGCAGGTGCCTGTAGTCTCAGCTACTTAGGAGGCTAAGGCAAGAAGACTGCTTGAGCCCAGGAGTTTGAAATTGCTGTGAGCTGTGATGCTATAGCACTCTACCAAGGGCAACAAAGTGAAACTGTCTGAAAATAAAATAAAATAAAATAATTAACAGAGAATAAAATCCAAAATATCTTTTTCCCCCTCCTTTACTGAAAAAGCCATATTATCTCTCCTAAATAGATTTGGTTTCAAGAGACAAATTTATCTTCTGTATCTTATACTTCTAGTCTAGCTGGGGGGGGGTTCAAAACATAATATAATAACTTCTCACAGATTAGTTTTTATTGTAAACATTATCTTCAAAATGGCTCTTCTTTTTCTGTCAAATGTTTCTGTTTAATTTTGGGAAGCTCCTCCATTTTAAAATGAAATATTGATGAAATAAAAATTAATTTAAATAGTTTTGTATTTTATAATAAATACAAGGGAAGGGACTTTACCAACTGAGGTACAACTATTAGTAATGCAAAGAAATTACATTATCTAGATTGCTTGTAATGGAAGTTGAGTTACTTGCTTCACCTAAACAGGGAAGTTGGCAGGTTTGCCTAGCAACAGCCGCTAAAACCTTCTGTTGTGGAAGGTTCCCTAGGAGCGAGAAAAAGGGAGGAGGAGGAACAGATTAATCTGTTTTTCTTAGCAGGGGACAGAGGCCGGGTTTGAGGAAGGAAAGGCTATCCAAGAGATACATTTTAGATCAGCGTATGCTAACCCAATCCCTCCTAGCAGCTAGAAATTCACTCTTTATAGTACAGAGGTTAGTTACAATTTAAGTGAGTTGGAGAGGAAGTTACAGATTTAGCCCACTTCAAAGGCAGCAAATTCCAATCAGTAGAAAGATGTCAATAGAGCTTCTAAAAGAAGTTAAAATCTCAGTAGCAGAAGGGTGTTAACAACTAAAAAGAAGTCGTCTCAAAAAACAAACAAACAAACAAAACAACTCTGCTGAGTTTAGGAAGGTGTGTGATTGTTTTACACTTAATGTACAAAATGCTACTTGTTACAGTGATTCATTCCAATTTACCAAGGTAAAGACAAAAGTATTTTTCTTGGTATTACTGTACGTCTACAGTGAAGAAAGGACAGAAAAAAAATCTCTGCTCTCTTGGCCAAGATTTGAAGCAAAAAAGGGTGATAGTGAAGAGTGCAGAGTATTAAGTGGTTGTTATTTGGGGACTCTCTTGTTTTCCAGATAATTTTATTTTGAAATTAGCACTGTATGGTACTAAAAGAATTTCATTTCTCCCCCTTCTCAAAAGCAAGAGTGTAGCTAAACCGAATTGTCTTGAAGAGGTCTCTCAGTCCCCCAAACTAAAACGGCACCTTTTCCACAAGAGACAGGAAACTTTAAAGAGTGGCAAGGTTAGATTTTAGATCCGGCAGCTCTTCCACAGGCCGATCATTTCCTGTCCTTCCCGGATAGCTCTCACTGTTCACAAAGGCCTGGGGAGACGTTTGGGAGTAGGGAGTGTCCGGCTTCTCGGGCTATTTCACCGCCTTCCTCTTCTGGGACTGTGTGAGGGGGTGACAAGAGCGAAGCTCGTGTGGGCTAGAACCTGGATAATATAGAAGAAATGGGATGCGGGGGAAGATGTGAAAAACAAACAGGAGTTGAGGGAAAAGAGCTGAGAAAGCCAAGGGGGTAGCGCGGGGTTCGGTGGAAACCGCAGAACTTCCAAGTCGCCCTCGTCGTCGGGCCCAGAGGCGCTGCTGGGCCGGGCAGGACCGACAGACCTGTTCCTCGGCTCAGGGCGTGTCCGCGCTCCGGGTCCGGGCAGCTAACGCCGCCAGCCTCCCGCCCGGGCGTCGGTGGCCGGTGACTCACCGCTCGCCTCCCGCGCCCGCCCCGCCCCGCCCCGCCGCTCGCCCCGCCTCCCGGAGGAGGAGCCTCGCCCTCATCTCCGCCCCAGTCTCCGGGGCGGGCCGGAGCCCGAGGAAGAGGAAGGGGACGAGGACAACGAGCAACTGGGCGGCGGAGGGCGAGGAGGAGGAAGAGGAGGCAGACCAACAAGATGGCCCCTGCTGCAGGAGCAGCCTCAGCAGCAGGTGGGAAGCCAGAGGCGGCGCTGGCGGTGGCGGCGGCAGCCGTGGCCCGGCGGCCTGGGACAGAGTCAGAGTCGACGGTGGCAGCGGCGGTGTCGGCAGCTGCCGTGGCGGTGGTGACGGCCGCGGGGACTCGGAGCTGAGAGGAGCTGCTGCTCGGACCAGCGCGGTGAGCGAGCGGCGGGCGGCGGCGTGGGGAGCGGGGCGGCCGCCACCGGGCCACGGTCAGGAACAATAGGCGGCAGCGGCGGGGACCGGGCTGCCTGCGCCCGCCCTCTGCTCCGGGCGGCGGCGGCCAGCCGGCCGGTCCCAGGCCCCGCCAGGGCAACGCCGGCGGCCTAGGGGCTTGTCAGTGGCCAGCGTCCTTTAGGCCTCAGGCCTCCGCCTGTCGTCTGAAAGGCCTGCGGGATAGGTAGGCCGAAGGGAGGTACGGACGCCGCCCGGGACCAGGAGAGGGCGAGGGAGGCTTGGGCGAGAGGGAGGGGGCCAGAAGCCTGCCCGGTTCCTCTCTTACTCCGGGGCCTGCGCCGAGCGGAGAGTGCGCACAGGAAATGCTTTTTAGACCCCCAGTCTGTGGAGTTGGGGGAGGGTGGAGGCGTCTGTAAACAGGCGCTGTCTCTGCCTCCCACACCCCAGGGTCGCTCCCTCCCCGAAGCCCTTCAGCGCTCCCCGTCGTCGGCCAACTGGGTTTTACCGTGTTTGTTTCCCTGGAGCTCCTGGAGATGAAGCTTGATATAATCTTTCTCTCTGTTGGCGATGGGAAAATTATGTGTGCAGGTGTCTTTTTAAGTGCAACAACGACAAAAAAATATACAAAAAGTGGTTATTGATTAAGGGTTGGAGCGGTAAGAGATGTTCCTATCGAAATATTTCTTAAGCATCATTTCTCTCTAAACATCAGTTATGCCCTCGTCCCGGGTGAGAGTGAATGGAAGCAGGGTTCTTCTGGAGCAGTTAAATAATACAACTCTTGACATCCCAGAATAGTCCATGAAGCTGGAAACAAAGGCACTTACTGGCAACGCGGAGACAAATTGTGATATCTGAATAGAACTTTTCTTTAAACGAGCCGTTTTGAATTATTTATTTGCAGCATAAGAAGCAACATTAACTAGCATAAAGTGGGGCTAATGAAGCAGTTCTTCAGGAGGTAGAGATGGCTCATTTCCATTTATAGAAATTCTTATGTCCTGTCTTGTGTTCTAATTTTGCCTTTTAGTATTTTGTTCCGTAATTATTCAAGACCAAGCTTTTCCTTTGGGTTTGAAATTTCACTTCAAAAGCGTATTTTGTAAGATTTCAAAAGATTTAAAAATAATTTTAAAAAAACTGGAAAGAACTATAGTTCAGTTTTGAATGTTAAGGTTTATTGAGAAACTAGTCTTCCGTTAAATTTTTTTTTTAATTAGTCTTCCGTTAAATTTTTTTTTTAATTTATGGGGTAGTGGTGTTTGAAACTTAAATTAGCTATTATTTCTCCTAACTTAATTGTTAAAGGCATCTACCAGCTGCATGTATTTATTTACAAGTGAGGGAAAAAGAAAAGATGTAATCTGTTTCTCTTCCAGTTTCTACCCCAGGTATGCAGAAATGTATATTAAAATTGTTTGGATGCATCCAAGAGATTGCTTTTCACTATTTAACACTCTCTTGGAAGGCCCATCTGAGGGCTTCAGTTCCTGGTCTTAAGGAAGATTGATCAGTGCAGAAAAAATAGATGCCAGTTAATATCTTTCTCTCATTTTAGGATAAATTTCTAATTAGCATTGGTCCAACTCTGTCATAATATTTTCAGGTTATATAAAGTTTAATTAGCAGCACTATTCTATTTCCTAGTTTTTCCACAGAATTGATGGGAAAGAGCATTTGAATAAACATGGAAGTTGAAATTATGTTGTTTAGGATTTGAAGCATAGTGGATGAATATCAGTAATGGCTTTTATTTTATACCTAGTGTCAGTGATGTTGTGGGTGTTTTGATAGGTAGAGAAAGAACGACTTTTTTTTAATTGTTGGGGATTCATTGAGGGTATAAGAAACCAGGTTACACTGATAGCATTTGTTAGGTAAAGTCCCCCTTATAATTGTGTCTTGCCCCCAAAAGGTGTGCCACACATGAAGGAAAAAGAACAACTTTGACACTATTCCTGCTGCTTCAAATTTGGGGAATAAGTGTTTCAGAAAGGACACATTTTTTTTAAGTGCTCAACTCTGATTTTTTTCTTTCCATGCTGAATTTTGGTAGATCAGTACAAGTCCAAGTAAAATCTGTATTACAATAATAGTGAAATTAATCTGTGGCCCTAAGCCTATTAGAAAAATTGTAGTAATTTATAAGTTATAAATTTTAAGTGGCTAGCATGCTTTGTTATGGAAAAACTCATAATGTTTTGTCAAAGACTAATTTCCCTCATATTTAATATCATTTTCCTGAAAACAGATTTTTAAGTGGTAAGGTTTTCTATTTGAAATTGGATATTGACCCAACAATTTATGATCTAAGTCTGGGTCTTTATTTCTGTTTAGTATTTTAAAATCTCATAGAGAGTTGTTTTTATTTTCAAAAATTCTAAAATGTGATCTCAATTGTCCTATCTTCAATATCTGCTTATTCTGATTATTTTAGTTCAGATTTTCTCAAGTAATGTTTAAAAATTCCCTTCTAAGAAGTTTTGGAACCATAGCTTATAGATTTGTGTCTTGGTAACATTAGGCATTAATATATATTTAATTCACTTGGAGATTGAAAAAGGAATTTTGTACACATACTAATTTAAAAACTACTATTTTCAGAGCATATTTGTTGAATTAATAAAACTTTAATTCTCCTAGTTATGTTATGGTACTGGTAGTGTTGTCCTCATTTTACATATGAAGAATCTGAGACTAAGAGAGGCTAAGTAGCTAGCAAACAGGTCACATAATTAGTGGGTAAAATAGATTACTCAATCCCTTGTGACACAAATTAGATGCTTTTCTGCTGCCACATACATGTTACAGGTAAACTTTGAAGCGTCTTCTATGTTGACAGATTCCTTTTTTTGACTGTGAACTGTTTTGTAATACTGTACTTGGCCTTTAGCCCTAATATCCTATTATCATCATTTGTATCCTGCCAAATAATTACTTGCAGGACCAAGAGAGTATTTAGTCATGTGAATCACAGAAGAAACACTTATTTTTGTTCTTAGATCTGAAGGCTGTACAATATAGACACTCACCATTTACACAGGACAGGTTTGTGACATTGCTATACTTGTTTCATGCTTTTAATTATTATACAAGCAATTATTGAATTGTGCCTTTGAAATACTTTATATATTTAAAACTAACTTTAATAACATTCAATGATGTTAAAATTGCATCAGCTAATATGTGAAATTCTTCATTTATAAATTTTTGTTGTTGTTTAAGCCATAGATAATGTAGAATTCTGCCTGTATTTTTCATCTCCACATCTTAGGACATGAAATGAGAGTTTGGTGTAGTTTAATCAGTCTACTCTTATACAGGGTAGACATAAAGTTTGTGTGCAGTTTAAAATCATTTAACATAGTAAATTGCACACAAACTTTATGTCTACCCTGTCTATATCTTGAAAGCGGTTGGCATCCAACGGAGTAAAGAGTAACCTGATAAATGATCCCTGTTTGGTGAACACCTCGGATCAGGATGTTCCCTGGCAGGGTTTTCTGACCTGGTTTAGCTTTGGCCCTGTCTGTGCTTAGGAGTTCAGGTATTCTTTAGGATTGGATTTGGAGGGACTTAAATTCTCAGATTTGCCTGTATCAGAGCAGTTTATCGGCTTCAAAATCAGTCTGTTCCTAGGACCTCCTTTAAGATCTTCTTTTCTGGCTTGGCGCCTATAGCTCAACCGGCTAAGGCGCCAGCC